GTGCATATTGCCCAAATCCTTCATTTCATATTCTTTTTATGAATATTTTTGAATTTTGTCAATATTTGTATAATCATCTTCTATTAATAACAAATCATCAACATATAAAATTAATATATATATATTTTTTTTGAATAGAAAAATATAAATTATGGTCTTCATTTCTTTTGTTGAGATTTTGTTCTTTCAAATAACTGTCTATTCTTGAATATCAAGCTCTTAGAGCTTGTTTAAGTGCATGTAGAGCTTTCTTCATTTTCCACACTTTTCCTTTTGTGTTCTCATTTCTCTATCCATTTGGGACTTTCATAAAGATTTCTTTTTCAAGAATTTCAATTAAAAATGTAATTTTAACATCTAAATGTGTAATACCCATTTCATATTAATTGGTTTGATTCCATCTAGTTGATTGATTAAATCCCATGTATTATTCTTTTAATAGCAATTATTTCTTGTTGAATTGCTTCATTCCACTCTTTAGAATTTATTGCTTCATAAAAAAACATTGGTTCCCATATTTCACATTTTTCTACTATCCAAATGTAATCCTATAATCTTATATTTGTTTTTGTTTTGTTTTGTTTTGTTTGTTTGTTTGTTTGTTTGTTTTTGTTTTTGTTTTTTTTTTTTTTGATTTTTGCAGATTTATCTCTCTAATATCGTGACTAGATTTTCATTTTCTCTGAATAGTATTGTTTGAAATATTACCTTCTGTAATTGCTGATAGATCATTCTCATCATCGAAATCATTGTAAACTTCTTCTTGTGGAGGTTCAGAACATTCATTTTGTACTCCGGTTTTGGTATTGTTTTCATTTTGTTCTAAAGCAAACTTTTGCTCTTCATGTTGAGTTACTGCTTGATCAATATGCTCTTGATCAACAATTTGATCAACTTTGTCATATAATTCGTGATTCTGAATATTTGTTGTAGGAATTCTAATTCACTCTGTACTGGTTTTAATCATATTATCAATTTTCACAAATTTGAATCCAACTTTGGATTCATCAAATATTACATCCCTGCTGAGAAGAGTTTTCTTTTTCTATCGATAGCATAATCTATACACTTTATTCCTTTCATCATATCTTAACATGATACATTTTTTAGTTTTTGATTGAGTTTTTGGTCTCACTTTCTTAGGTACATATACATATGCCAACCTTCCTATAATTCTAAATGATGAACTTTTAATTTCTTCTTTGTCCATCTTTTTTTTGGTGTTTCTCCTCCATTAGTCCTTGTAAGTCCTTTGTTAATAAGATAATTTTCTATATTTACCATTTTTGACCAAAGATATATAGGTAATTTTGATTCATATTGCAAATTTCTTCCCTTCTCAATAATTGCTCTATTTCTTCTTTTTGCTACACCATTCTGAGCAAGAGTTCTAGCTTATGTCAATTGTCTTTTAATTCCATTTTCTTTGCAATATTTTATAAATGTTGTAGATAAGAATTCTCCTACTCTATCTGTCTTTAATATCTCTATTTTATTGTTAGTTTCAGAATCTATCATTGTCTTAAATTGCTTGAATTTTTGAAGAGTTTCACCGCTTGTTTTAAGAAAATACAACCAACTTTTATGACTTCTATCATCAACAAATATGACAATAAATCTTGACCCATTTAATGATGTTATTTTCATAAGTTTCATTAAATCAGTATAAATAAGTTGATTTATCTTTGTTGCTCTATTAAAAGATGCCTTGAGAAATTTTTGTCTATGTTATTGTCCTGCTAAACAAGCTTTTCATATTTATTTTGCATTTTGAATTGTAGGAAATCCATTCACCTAATTTGCCTTTGAAAGATGATATAATCTAGCATAATTTAGATGTCCAAAATGACAATGTCATTTTTTAGTTTCAGTATTCTCTAAAATAAATTGATTTTGTTTTTTTTTCTAAACATAATATTATCAAATTTATATAGCCTTTTTTTTGAGTCTCTATATCCAATTGCAATCATTTTAAAGTTTTTTGTACTATCTAAAATATATACATAATTTTTTGTGAAAAAAAAAATATTCCATCTTTTATAAGATAATCCACTAATAATAGATTCTTGATAATAGTTAGAAAGTACAAAACATTAGTGATCTTTATTTTACCATGGTCAGTTTTTAAATCATTTTTTTTCAATTCCATGTGATTCACCACATACGGTAGTGAGATTTTTGTTATCCATTTATGTCATATTTGTGACTAAATATTTTTCTCCCATCACATGAATACTATATACATTGTCCATGTATCATTGTTTTATATTTTGGGATTCAATTAGAAATTCCTTGAGCTCATCTAATTCTTTCAATTTTTCAAATTTTGAACCTATTACCAAGTTAACATCATTTGCTATAATACTCTGTCTTTTCCAATGATAACATTTTCTTGTAATATGACCAAGCTTATTGCATACAAAGCAAAATAATAGTCCTTTCAACTTTGAATGTCCTCTACCTCTACCATTGTATTCATTTTGTAATAATTTTCCTCACGTTTGTCCACATCCATTATTTGAGTCTACAATATAGTTAATTTTTTTGATCTCCTCCAAGTGTCAATTTGGGCTTGCAATATAGTTAATTTCTTTGACCTCCTCTAAGTGTCAAGCTCTTATATTCAATTACTTTGCCTTGTTTAATATTTGTTTAACACACTTATCAAAGCTTGGTAGTAAAATAGAATTATTGATTGATTGTATCATCATATCATAACCTCTAGGTAAGCCATTCAAGTTGAGATTTATTGTTATTTTTTTTTAAAGCACTTCTACTAATGTTACTAGTTTGTTCTTATATTTCCTTGCCAATCTCCCATACTCTTTGATATCATCTTGTTCCTACAAACATAACACAAAGAATTGAGAGTTAATTAACATTATCTATGATTGATCTCCACTCTGATATATTTCCTTGAATGTATTTTATGCATCACCATATCCATAAGTTTGTCACAAATGGACATCAAAATTCCTGAATGCACTTTGTTCTTTTCATGCTAAAGAGCTGCCACAATATTGTATTTGCGTCCGATCAAAGCAAGAAATATTGTTGATTCTCTTTTCTCTTCTACAATTGCCCATAAGTTCTCCTTGATAAGTACCAATTTCAACTTAGACTGCTACACATAATAATTTCTGTCACCAACTAATTTGTTGATTTCACATATGAAGAGATATCCTCTTGGTTAAATCTCTCCTATTTCTTAAGTTTTCGCAAGACATTCTATAAAACTCTATGACCAATCTTATGTCTTCTAATAGCTTCTACTTAAAGCCTATAGAGACGTGGTTTCAAACTAACAAGATTGCTAGTCTACATACTCTCAAGACCTTTGTTACTCTGAATGATTGATGGACTTTCTCCAACCATGCTCTGATACCATGTAGAATATTTTCAATTGAAAAAGTATCCTAACTTTCTTCATGAACTATATTTATACATCAAATTTAGTTTTACACATGCAATAATTCCTATTTTTATCTCATGTTTATTGCGACAGTCCATGCTACACTGACTACTTTTTCTATTTTTGACGATGAGATAACTCATCATAGACTTAAGTAATTTGAACTAAACTAGAGTTGATTCTATATCTTTCAACAAGACAATCTGAAATGTGTTCAAGGCCAATAACCACATTTCCGCCTAAGTTCAAAGCTGACAAGTATGCGAACCTGAAGAAGGCATCTGACTCGTGGAAAATTCAAGTTGTTTGGCAACACATTGACAAACAGACTGAGATTTCCATGACTGAGATTTCCATCAACATGCGCCAAGATGGGATTATACGGAAGGCATTTCACATGAGCAGAGAGGCAAAGTTCTAAAAACAGCACCTTGGGTGACTTGGCTATACCCAAGCATGTTGTATGAGTTAAATCGATTGAGAAAAGCAGGAGTGAAGTTCAGCCAAAGACTGTTGCATCAATTGGGGAAGCAGACACTTGATAAGCCCGAGCATCCTCATTTTGATCAGCAAGTTGATCTGCACAAAAAGAATTTCCACTCGCTTGATTCAGAGGTTTATGGGAAAGTGCAACATTGTTGGGAGAGAAAATACAGGCAAATTTATGGTGCTTCCAGACTTGCAGGCACACATTGACAAGACTCATTTTTCATTTGAGATAGGCGAAGAGAGACTTTGAGAACGTCACACTTAGTGAAGATTTCGTAGAGAATGTTGATGAGACCCATTCTGTTGTCAATATGGACAACGGAAAGACATTGGGTTTTCGCGGTAATGACAGTGTGAAGTATGCAGATGTCGTTTCTGGCGGGCAAGGAATGACAATGATTGTCCGCCTTACTAGAGGGATTCGAGCTCGCATTTAGGTGCCTACGCTGGTATTTGGGAATGCAATTTGCGCTCTTGCAATCAGAGGTGCTCGTGATGATGTTGTGTAGCAGACAAAACTGCGAAGAAAAGCTTTGTAACAAGAGTTGTGCGAAATGACTGGCTGAATTAGGAACGCTGTCAAATTACTCTGTTGCAAGGAAATTCGACCAGAACTACTTTAGTGGACAACTCCACGGGGCATGATTATACTGAAGCATCGTTTACATTACTGCAGCGGTTGAATGCAGTCATTAAGTATTTGCCTCCCTGCAGTACTGACAAGGCTCAACCATGCAATTGTTTTGTGCTTTCGAAGATCGGGGATGCTTGAACAGATTCCTGGGATCAATACAAGATAAAAGCTATCATGAGTGGCTATCATAAGAGGATTTCGGAATACAGTCCAAAGGAATGATAAGAGTTCAGGTGATGTACAGAATCCAAGAAAAAAGGATCTTTCTAAGGCTAATTGCAGAATCTGTGAGAAAGGTACATAATGCATTTGATGCAAATGGTCCACCATTTGCTAGGAAGGCTATGAATTGATATGGTATATCTTCTAATGTGAATGATGTATGGCGTTAAGAGAAAATCCCCAGTTGCAAAAGCTAATTGCAACATGTTTTAAGCATTTTATTGGTACTCCAATGCCTGCATAGGGAGCAAAATCACCTTCAAATTTATTAATGTGAAAACTATAAACCAAGAAGGGAGTGAGCAGGACTCTGAAGAGGACCCACTTGTAGATTCAAATTCAAATCAGGGTGAGGACGATAACGAAGAAGAGGAAGCAGAAGCTGGTCCCGGACATGAATTCGAAACTAATAGTGCACAGCTCCACAGTCATCCTCACGTTGATGCATCCAACAGAGCCCTCTGGCAAGCACAGCTCCTGACTACCAGCACACGATGGACACAGGGTAAAACCTAGAAATCTCAAAGAATCCAATTGATCTACGTTAAGCATCAAAATTTCGCGATATCAACTGATATCAAGATACTCTATTGTGTAGTCTGCATTTGCGACACTGTCCTGTCCACGAGCAGGCAGGGCATGCATAGCCCTGAGATGCTCCACCACCCCTAACAACGGCGTCAACTTTCTACCGATTGCCACCACGGACTGAACCGAACCCTGTATAGCTCTCAACTCCGGTAGAAACTTCGGCGACAGTACGCATTTTGTATACTGTCCGTCTAACACCATGCTCACCCATTGAAGCACCTGCTGCGACGACGGAACTCTGTAAATTGAATCCATAGACTCGCCCCTCGGCAATGGATTGCTGCACAGCCGACCGGAATATCGATCCAGCCATTTGCGCACGTACTGCAGAAGCTGCACCGCCTCCGACGTGTCCAGCTCCGCCACGATTGCTGCTAAAACCGCCTCGTCTTGCCCGGAGGCTACCAATGCGTGAAGACAGGTTTCCCACCCTTCGAAACCATCCACTGCCACTGCCATTGCGACGGCATAAGCTACGGCTACATTTTTCCTGCTCACCAATTTCTCGTATTTTCGTTTCTCACGCTCACTCGCTGCCGCTGCTCCTGAAGCACCCTCTCCCTCTGCCGGAACAATGCCCAATGCATCTCGCAAACGATACTCACTCATCCGGACATTCTCTTTTCTTCTGGCAGCGAGGTCTATGGCATCACACGCTGCTCTTCGCCACCCCTGCCGCACGACTTCGAACGACCTCCCGGACGCAGGGGTTATCTCCAGTAAAAACTTCAGTCCGATCATGAGGTCGGACGGGGTGAGGTCCAGCACATGATAAAAGCACAAGCAAAGAAAATCCGCCTTCCTGTGCTCCACTAGCTTCTGAACCAAGTCCGGATGGGACGCGCTGGTGACCAGACCCAACTCCAGCAAAACCTTCAGAGCGCCCCAGAACTGCAGCCCTAAACTGCACCTCACGATTGAAGCCAACAGCTTCCTACCAATGTGAGGCCCCACTTTCCTCAACACCCTCAAATACGAGAATTCCGCATCGGCCACCTCCATCGCCTCGTCGTCTCGCCCCGACGCTTTCGCCCCCTCCGCGTTCCCATCCGCCCTCGCAGCACTCTCCAACACAGGCCTCGTCATGGCCACGAATTCCTCCTTCGAGAAATCCCCGAGATTCCCCAATTTCTTTTTCAGCTCCGCCACAACCCGGTCCTCCTCGGCATTCGGACACCGCATTTGCCACGCCCCGCTCTCCCTCATCATCAAATCCTCGAAATAAGTGTCCGCAACACCGTGTGGCTTCTTCGCAACCCCTTTCTTCGACGGGGGCTCCGACGGCGTCGCCATCGACGGATTCAGCCTCCGCACCGCCGTGCACCACGAGCTCTCCACGTCCACCCTCGCAGCGCCATCCTCCACCTGCCCCGCGCTGCCCAGGAGCTCCAACAGCGTCAACGTCATCTCGCGAAGCCCCAAAACGACAATCACAACACCCAAACCACAGCAAACCCGTCTCGGCAAACTATGATCACGCCCTCTCCCTACTACTACTCCTCCTCCTCCTCCTCCTCCTCCGCTTCCCACACCACATCACAAGGGGACCCAATGATTCAGCTGCTCAGCCTCAGCCTCAGCCCCGCCCTCCCGCTCCCCAATTCGCTTGAGCGTGTGGGTGGGAGAGGGAGCTGGGAGGACAGGCCCGCCTGCCTGCCTGCCTGCCCATGCCATGGGAGAAACCCTAAACCCTGAACCCACCCTGCACCCACCCCCCCATTCTAATTTAGGGTTTCTCCCAAGAGCCTGCGACAACTCCCTCCCTCGCTCCCATGAACCTGCTGGGCCACCCGCGACGCTCCCACCCACCCCTCCCCCACAACAAAGTCACAAGAGGAGGAGAACATTTGTGGGTTTGGAAACATTGTAGAAAAAAAATTAGAGTGAGGACATGGTGAGAGTACTTGGCAATGGAGAAGAGGAAAAAAAGAGCACAACATTTGGAAACCTTTATTGAATGGATAGTGATTTAGATACAATTGTTTTGTTTCTAGTTCCTACTCAAAGTAAGTATATGTTTAGAGAACCATTATACTATGGACACCTTGCCTTTTCATTAGGTGGATATCTTCTTTACTACACATCAATTTGACAAAGAAATGAACTAAATAACCATCAGTTGAAATTGTATTTCAACACTAATATGTGATGTTTGTAACTTGAAATTTAGTATAATGGGCACTATCTTTATTGACACTCATAACTATATAATGGAATACAAGTTCCATAAATCAGTAAAAATAGGTTTTGTTTATATTAAACAAAGGTGACTTTATTTATGTTGAAATTCAAGTAACAAGAATACTGAGTGAGTTGTCAAACATAGTTTCAAATGATTATTATTCATTCTACTTATTCATTTAATCAATGTGTGGTAAGGAGGGAGAATTATATGTGTATGTGTTGTCTATACAAAGAAATAAAAAATAAAATTAAGAAATGGAAGATTGCCTATCTTACAGTTACTTATATTTATTAATGATATCTAGTAAATTTAGAGTCATTTTTTAAACAAAAATCCAAGTTATATTTTGGAAGAAAGTTCATTTGATTGCATGTTCTCTATTTAATCACAAGAAATAGGTCACTCCATTTCAAAGACAAGATTATGATAAAAACAAATAAACAAGTGAGACTTCTCTTATAGAAAAATGACAAAAATAGAAATAACTTGACATGTATATTAAGAAAAAAACTGGAATGGCTATTGCCAAAAGCCAAGAAAACTAAAGACCCTTGAAACTAGATTGGAAGCAAAAAAGAAGTTAAGAAGAGTGAAGAAGGCTTCACTCTTATTTCTATATATACTATCTAACTAGGGGCTATGTGACAATGTTTTATAGGACCTCCAATATGTGTTGACTTTGTAAGACACATGCCTTGACTTACAAATCAAGTTTTTCTACATATGGGCCACATAGTGTCAAGGACATGAATCTCGAAGAAAGGGAATCCTCAATATACTCTTCTATCACTGAAGAGAACTAGAAAGTCACTCAAAAGGTGATGTAATATTAACTAGAATGGCTATTGCCAAAAATAAGAAGACTAGAAAGTCTTGAAACAAGACTAAGACAAGAAAGGTGTTGACAAGAGTGAAGAAGGCTTCACTCTTGCCTCCATACATACTATCTAACTAAAAGCTACATTGCGATATCCTATAGGACCTCCAACATGTGCTAACTTTGCTAGCGACATGTCATATCTTGCAAGGTAAGTTATCTATGTATGCGCCACATAGTTGGCTTGTTCCACAAGCTACTAATACATGGTTAGTTTTTTGGCCAAGTTTCTAACCTACAAACACATCTAAAGTCAAAACCATATCTATAAAGCTTCTAGGAAGTTTCTTTAGAAGACTTTATAAAATTATTCTTTTTTACCTAATTCTACTTAATCATATAAGTAACTATTGAGGTAAATATATATGTCCGTGACATTATCCCCCGCTCTAGGGACGAGTTCCACGAGGAGCGGTCTTCATATGTTGAGGTAGTCCAAGATGCGGCAAATTATATTTGCTACATACTCCAATCTTTGCTCTCTTCGAAGATGGTTGATAGGTCCTCTCAACCATCTATAGTATCCCATACCAAGGTGAGAAGACCACCCTACTATTTGGTCATTGTTAAGGCCTTCATAACTTCTTTCAAATAAAATATTTGGAACATCGTCAGGAGTAGTTCCTACCTCAAATAAATTCATTAAATATCAGGATTCTCTTCCAAGGTCGTGATACCAAACACGTTGTATCTCGCCATCTATTCAAAGAAGGACATGTCATTCTTAAGGATCTTTATCTCAATTCCGTCGTCTTGAAGGTTGTAACAATCGCAATGTCTCATATGGTAAGTCTGCAAATGAAAGCTCTTGAATTGAATCTGCTGATTGTTTTTTGCTCCATCTCATCACAAATACACAGAAGCTACAATAAAAGATAGAAGGTACAATGTTATTTTCCTTTGATCTTGTTTCTTTTATAGCAAAGGTTTGTTATTCTTCATCTTGGTTTTAATGGATGTTGTTGATGAAAGACTTCAACTTTTTTTGCTACATTTGCAAGATTCTTTGATGGCTCCCATGTGTGTTCACTAATATTGTGTCCACGCCAATGAACAAGATATTCCAACCTATTTCAGCGCTACCTTGAGTCTAAGACTTCTTCCACCTCAAACTCTTGGTTATTATCTACTTCTATAGGAGGAGGTGGCATTTGTCTTCTTCCCAAAATATTCACTGTCTTGTATAGCTCCAGAAGAGACACGTGAAATATAGGGTGGATCTTCATAGACTCTGGTAGATATAATCGATAGGCAACAGAATTGATTTATTCACAAATAAGAAAAGGTCTGAGCCTTCAATAATCTAATTTATCACAAGAACAAGTAGTCTTGATATTACGACAAAGTAACCATACCTTATCGCCCATATTATATTGTGGTTGCTTCTTGCGATAGATATTTGTATTGGTCTTTTGTTGTTCTTGAGCTTCCTTTAATTGTATCTTCATTGTTGTATGTAGCTCTGACAAGCGATTTCCTAAATCTTCCATCGTATGATTATCAACTTTTGAAAAATTAAAAGTATCAAGACGTGGATGATAATCATAATTAGCAAAGAAAGGTATTTTTTGAGTAGAAGAATGTACCAAATTATTATATGCAAACTCTGCCAATGGTAAAAGAATTGTTCAATCATCTTGATGATAGTTGATGGTACATCTCAAATACTACTCCAAAACTTGATTTATCCATTCTGTTTGTCCACCACTTTGAGGATGAAAAGCTAAAGAAAGCTTTATATCCAACTTTAGAATCTTGAATAGGGTTTTTCAAAATCTTGATACAAATTGAGTCCCTCTATCCGATATAATATCCTTTGGCAATCCATGATAGGGATAGATATTGTTAATGAAAAGCTTAGTTGTTTCTTCACTTGTGATAGATTTTGTACATGGTACAAAATATGCCATCTTGGTAAAACGATCTACTATCACGAATATAGAGTCATAAGAACCTGAGATTGGAAGATTCGTGATGAAATCCATAGAAACAGAAGACCATGATTGTTCTGGAATAGGTAACAGCTGAAGAAGTCCATAAGGTTGATGATGAGGAATTTTTGATCTTGAGCAAACATCACAAGATTGTACAAAATCTTTGATTCCCTTCTACATTTGCAGTGTCGTAATACGTGAAGTCTTACTTTAAAATGCTCCAAGTACCTGGTTGTAGAAAGAAGAATAGAAATTATAATAACAAAATCTTAATTCTTATAATATACTAAAAATCCTCTAATTAGACCATAATAATGCTAATCAAGCTTAATCAAATTCAAAAAAACCTCAAAGAAATTTCAAACAAAGAATAAGAATTCTTAAAGAAATATTAAAAGGATCACAAATATCACTCAAATACATCTCAATTCAACCTTAATTTAATTCTAGTTAAAATCCTATTGAACTTCATTCAAAATTTAGGCCAAAACTAATTAAATCTTAAATCCTAATAAAATCCTAAACCCTAAATAAAACCCTAACCAAATCCTAAACCAAATCTTAGTAATTCCTACAATAGATTTGAACCTCAATAACTAATGAATAAACTATTGATCTTCATTCAAATTTTGCATACTTCTTAAAAAATAAGTTAAAAACAAGCACAAAAAATTTGAAAAGGATCGAAGTTACCAAATTGTCGATTACCTCAAAAATGTGCTCAGGTATTGGCCGGCCTCTTTCTCCAATCTTGATGCCAATCTTCCATAGCCAATATCTCTCCTTTACACTATTCAATTGATCTAAAAATTCTCATACACATAGAAAAACAAGTCTAATATCCTTTCATATAAGTTTTACTCCAATCCAAGTAGTAGATTGCAAGAAATCTTAAAAACCCTTATTTGACCTAAAATTCTACTTTTTGAGACCTTGACCCACTTAAACCTCAATATTCCTCAATTCAACTATTAGATCGAGCTCAAATTCACAACACATATTAAACACAACTATAACCATGAACCTACAAATTTTCATTTTTAGATGTATTACAAAACTCTTGAAATCACCCAAAACATAAACCCTGTTTTATTTCATAAAACCTAAGTTATCCAAAACAATCTTTGACTTTGCAAAGCTATTACAAAGTCATAACAACTTTAAATCACCCAAAATCAATGCTCATACAAAGTTTATTCAGTTTGCTATCAAACCTCACTCTCCGATCTCCAAAAGAACCCCGAAATCGTCATCGAGACTCAGTTTTGTGCCATAGGGTCTGATTTCGACCTTGGTTCATAACCGGCCCTCTCCGGATACCAATATCTAGTTTTTCTAAGTAATTTTTTCTAGAATTTACTCTTAACTTTCTTATAAAGATGCTTATGTTATTTATTTTTCCAATCTACTTTGATTTGCCTTACTTATGGTGCTACAAAGTAAGTAGAAGTCACCTATCTAAAAGGCAGCATTGGTACTTTTTAATTTTTCTACCCCTTTGACTATTAACTATATTTCTAAGATAATTTGTTCTAATACTTTGAACTAAGATCTCCTAAATTATAATAATATCCATACTCTTTGACCTATTAGTCGTGTTACATCACGACAATAAGGAATACTGGATGGATTTTCATTGACTCTGATAGGTGTAAACGATATGTAACTAGATTGATT